CTTGGTTCTTTTCTAGCATTTCACTACTTCATGATCCTTTAATGTATTTACTTATTTAAGTAGTCCTATGTGACATTTTCCAAAAGAAAAGAGTTTGAAAAACATACATTTTAGCATTTAATTTTTTTTTTTTGGAGAGTAGCATTTACTTTTATTACTATAAGTTCTCAATCAAATTTTTTGTTTTTCATAGTAAACTTTCTCATATCCACGTGAGACCCCAAATATCATATCTTTAAATTAATAATTTCAATTGAGATGTTTTTTCAAGTTGCTGGTTGCATTTAAGCTATGCAATTTTATTGGGTGGACCATAAATAATGTCAGGCACCAAACTCATCTAAAAATTTTTTGAAATGTAAAATATCAAATAATATTTTTTCATTTGAAATATATTATGGAACTAGATTTTATACATATGCAATGCACAGGAGTAAAATCCCCTAGTTTGGTTGGAGAAGATAAAAGAAATTTTTTAATAAATTTGATTTTAAAAAAATTGGCAAGTGGAGTTAAAACTTAATTAAATTTGCTGACTCCACCTTTCTTTCTTGAAGTATAAATAATTATTTTTTTTAACCTGAACATAAATAATGGTGACAATCGCCTCTCTGTGGATGATCCATTGTTCCTGGAGGCTCCACATCCTTCTTTTTGTTTTGTCTTTTAGCATGTTGTAATTTTCTTTTTATCAAAAAAAAAAAAACTGTGACAATAAAAGTGTAAATAATTATATTTTTTTATTTGTCATACATGCTTTTGATATTTAAAAGATAGAAATAAACAACGATCCACTTGATTTTAGAATTTGTTATCTTAAAAAATTATTTTATTCAATAAACAACAATTTCTTCTATTCCATACAAAATATTTTTGAATTTTTTCCTCTATTCATATTAATACTATAAAGAAAAATTGGTTATTTCATGTTGTGTTATCCTCCCTTAAAATAAAATTTAAATAGCAACTTGTTCTGCTCCCCCCTAAAATTTCCACACCTACCTTTTTTATTATAAATCCTACATTCTTCCTTGTTCTCTCTTACTATATAATTTTTTTTATAAAAAAAAGTGAACGGCCCAATTACAAAAAAAAAAACTTAAAATTAGTTTTTTTCTTAAAAATTATATTTAAAGACCATTCAAGCAAATTAATCATATACAAGAATTAACAACAACTTTAATTAAAAAAAATAAGTCTACATTTCTATTTTAATAATAATTTATTCTGTATTAGTTATTGTTTGTAAATAATTTACTTTAGTAGTTCTTGAATATAATTCTTTTTTAATTCTTTTGTTAAAAAAAAAAAACAGGGGCTATGCCCAATTACAAAATACTTATGGCATCCCTGGTTTCTCGCTCCTAAAACTTGATGTCCATCAAGAATTAGGGAACATAGTCAAAAGGCATTGAGGTTAGTATCATGTAACCCAAATCAATGAGACTACCCATTAAAGGCCAATTCTCAACCTCCCAAATAAATGAGACTGACTACCCCTTAGGCCCATTCCTAATCCTCCAAATAAATTTAATATGAATGTTATATTTGATATTAATATATTTTATTGACGTTGATGTTGAAATGCTCAATTTTTATTTGACCGAAAACATTCTATAATATATACACATATATTTGCATAAAAGCCTACACAAGAATTTCACATTGATAATAACTTATATTATTTAATTATAATTAAATAATATATATATATATATATATATATCTGATTGATTAAAAGGAAGAGGGATGAAATGAATTACCAAGCATGGAAATGAATCGCCAAGCGTGGAAAAGGATCATTTTTTGGGCTTTGGAGGAGGTGGACGTGGAGAAGCATTACTCAGCTCTTTTCTAATAGGATTAAGATCCTTTGTTGAGGTTGAACCTTGTGAAGAATTCTGAGAAGATTGATTAGGCATCCTCCCAAAAGTAACGGGCAACAATATTTTTGAAATATATTAATTGCCTCACAATCTTCTTCTTCTTTTGTGTGTTAGCTTTCAATTTAAGATGTATTTATATACATAGAAATATGAGCTGTCTCTTCTGCGATGAAAATGCACTAATATTTCATGGAATAACATATGAAATTTTTCTGAAAATGTCTCCCTTTTTTTGAGTTAATGAGCATCTTTTGTTCTAAAATATTGCATGAATAGCATTTTAAATTTTGAAATATGCAAAAACTCTCCTCAACTTCTAAATTTCAACAAATTAAAACCTCATTGTTAAGTTGAAAAAAACAACTATTATTTTTAAGGATTAAAATGAGTGACACACTAACGTGCACTTAAAACTAACTATAAAAATAATGGTGATTTTTTCTAATTTAATACCAGGGTTTCAAATATTTAAAATTTAGAAGTTTAGAGGAGTTTTTATATATTTTAAGAATTCAAGATTTAGGATGCTATTTGCATAATAATTTAGTGTTTATGATATTCATTAATCCATTTTTCTTTAAAATAGCATGTATTGAAATTTTCTACAATTTTCGTGAATAATTTCATTTAAACTAATTTTGACTGTTCAAAACACAAATTGAAATTTCTTAGGATTTACCTGAAGAAGACTGTTAATTTGAATTTGTATTTTTTATGTAGTTATTATTGTTGGATTTTGACCCTGAATTATAGGAGTCTTTTCCTGAAAAGTGAGGAAATTTTAAAAAATCACTGAAATTGAGAGGAAGGATGACCTATTTGTTTCGAAAATTGAAAATTCACGAAATTAGATAATCGTGTGGCAGTAAGGAATGAACCAGCCGTGTGGTTCCATGATGAATGCTGTTTTCGACTTGAAGATGCTTTCGAATTTCTTGTAAATTTTAATATTGAAGCTTTTGTTATTTAAAAATAATTTAAATGTAAATATTTCTTAGTGTACCCAGGTCCTCGTCAATGGTAAACATATTACGAATTCGTTCCAATTATTTAATCAATTACTTATATTATAATTATATTACAATGTGGACACCACCAAATAGATAATTATTATCAATTGCGAGTGTGTGTAAATTTAATTTTTATTTAGGAAAAACTATAATGAAGGAAAAAAAAGAAAGAATATTTGAAATTTCATATATAATTATATTATAGTCCTGTGGTTTGACCTGAAATCCTTAGATAGGTATTCAAATATTTAAGCGGTTTATTAAATTATTTAACATTTTCTCTTTTTTTCCCAAACAATTTAACATTTTCTCTGTTTTTTTTTTTTCCAAAGACTTATCACGCCTTGTACGTCAGTATTATTGACATACTTTCCAACAAAAATTGTTGCAACTATAATTTGCAATTTTCACTTAAACCAGCTTAATAAGCAGCTGCATAGTACATTATCAGAGTTGGATTGGTATACTTGTACTCATCTAGCAATTGTTTGATAACCGGTTAAGAACCTCCTTATATGATGACTTCTCGGCCCTCAATTCTTAGAGCAATTCTAACCTAGTCAATAATACTTTATACTCAACCTGGTTATTTGTACATTCGAAGTCCAGTTGAAGAAACAATATAGCCTTCACACCTGGGAGCACATTCGATGCTCATCGGGGTTGCTCATCATTCCTGAACCAATCTGGATAGTCTAGATAGATTAAACTACTTTTTTTTTATTTTTAAATAAAAAATTATAAAATTTTAAATAAATATATTTATTATTAACATATAGCATTCTTATTTAATTAGATAAGTCTAAATTTAATATTAATTTTTTTATAACTTTTATAAATTGATGATATAAATTTTCTTTAAATTGTTTTGAATCTGACAATATAATAAGTTAAAAATTTTGAATCTAAACAGTACAAACTAAATCTATATGTTCAATTTATAAAAAATTTAATATTAAATTTTAGACTCATCTGATTAAATATGAATACTACATGTTAATAATAAATATATTTATTTAAAATTTTATACATTTTTATTTAAAAATAAAAGATAAAAAAAGTAGTTTGAATCTAGACGGTTTAAATTAAATTTGGACGGTCTAAATTGATTCAGGGGTGATGAGCACCATCACTTTTGATGAGCACTGAATGTGCTCCCCTTCACACCCATTAGTGAGATTATTATGGCCCCAACCTCAAATAGTTGTTGTATACTAAAGCTATCAAACTTGAGTGCCCGGGACCTAAGCTTATTGAGGACACTTGAAGTTCCTTATCGTCTTATATGACTGCGGCCAAAGGAAAATTAGCTAAGAAGTCTACTAATGCATGCCCATCAACAAATGAGATAAAAATATCAACAAAAATTCAGCTAAAAGCAAGCTCCACTTCTCTATATGACCTATCATAATAGGCAATTTAACAAGTATATAATTAAATTAGAGTGAGATACCACATATACAACTAAATTTATTATGTAATGTGTGAATATTGTTTTTTGTACATTTAATGAAAATAAACAAAAATACAAAAATATTTGTTTGGCCTTTTAATAGCATTTGTTTTTAAATGTCTTTGTTTTCATCTTTTTTATAAAAAAACCAAAAAATTTAAACATATAAAAAAGAAATTTAATTCTTTTTTTAAGAGTTAATTTTCAAAACAATGAAATATAAAAAAGAAATATTAATCATTTTTAATAATTATATTTCAAAAAATAATAAATATAAAAAATGAAATTTAATCATTTTTAAGGATTATTTTTCAATAAAAAAAGATAAATAAATTTAATTTTTCTTCATAATTAATTTTGAAAATGAAGGAGAAAATATTGCTTAAACCTTTTAAAAATTCTCCACCAAATTATCTTAACAATCAAAAAATTATGAAAATTGACTTCTTAAAAATTAAATCCTTTTAAATTTGGTTCTTTTCCTTAAAAAAAATTCTCAATTTAAAAGTAAATTCCTTTTTCAATCTAATTTTTAAAATGTACATATAGAAAATCCAAAAAAATTAAAAAAAAATTAATTAAAAAGAATAATCAGGGGCGATGAAATGCTAATTGCTCCAATGTTCCACTCAACCCTAAACTTCCCCATCTCTAATTGATGTATGTAGAAGAGAAGAGAACTAAAAGGCGACCAATAATAGGAAAGATGAAGGGAAGCAAGTGGATCATCTGGAGCAGCATAAAAGCGGTGATGCACAGAAAAAAAGTAAGGAAAGGGCAGGAGACATAAGTGTATGGGATTAGAGCAGATGGGCGGTGAGTTATCATTATTTTCGAAAAAATCCACCCCCTTTCCTTCCTATATAAGGTCATTGGAGTACTCAGAAGAGGAGAGGTCTGAGTTTTGAGAACATGAAAGAGAGAAGTGAGTTCGATGCTGAGAAAACCAGTCCGAGTTTCAGAGGGATAGATTTTTGGGAAAGGAGTCTGAGTTTGGAAAGAGCAATAGAGTTGAGAAAGCGATAAAAATTTGAGAGACCATAGAGAACGATTGAGAGGCAGAGGTGAACAAAGATTCAAAGGTGTGATTTGACAGAGTAGGAGTCGAAGCTTCCATTCACTACAGTATGTGGAGTTGCTGTAATTATTTCTTTTTGCAAACTTTTAATCTGTTATGCATCCTAGACTTCTTTGAAAAACCCCAAACTGAAGTTCTATTTGCTGTCCTGATTAGTTTAATTTGGCTTTGAGCAAATTTCCATCATGTTTGTGCGCCAAGTTGTGAGGGATTTCTTGTGATTGTTGTGACATGGGTTGAAGTTGGATTTTAGATGCATTTTAGCATGAAAAAAAATGTGTGGACTAGGCAAGTTTGTTTATTTTGATTTCTAGACCGCTTCCAGGTTCTACTTCTATACTTTGGATTAGTTTAGGATGCACACAACTGAACCATAGACATGGGGTTTAACTAAAAAATTACCCTCTTTGCCCAAGAGATTGATGTCTACCTTAGCAAAGGTTCGGATAATATATTCTGGTGGTAAATTTTGTTAATGCTGTGATGGATTTTGTATTTTATATATATATATATGCTGTTAGAATGGGATGCTCTGGTTTCATTTAGTATATGCACTTGAGTTGAAAGCGTGCTTCTTTTGCCTTGGTGATTTATGCATATGTAAAGTTTTTATATGCTTTGAGATGTATTGGCAATCTATCACCTCTTTAGTTAAAATTTCCTTTCTCAAAAAAGAAAAAAAAATCTGATCTTGTGATTATACTATTTACATCATGAGAGGTGTTAATGAATATAAGAACATGTTCTTTGGTTTGAAGGTTTCACATAAAGGCCGTGGCTTGGATCATATTTTTTCCCCTTTTCTTTCTAAGCTCTTATATGGTTGGCATAAGTTGGTTTGGATCACTAATTGATAACCTATAAAACCCTGCATGATCTTGTGCCTTTTTGTGGTCAAAGGTATAGTTCTATCAAATTTTAGACTTCTAGGCACCTAGGAATCAAACACTGGAGTTGCATACTAACCATGGGAATTTGCTTAAGTTGCATCTTGTGCTTACTTGTGAAGGGTGTTTTGTATAAATAGACTTGGCATCTCTCTTGTTGATTGAGACACCATGCATGCATGGTTATATATAAAACTGACTCTTTGTTCTCATCGTAATCCCATTTGTCTTGAATTCAAATGGGCATTAACTTAATTTTGGTCCTTGCATCAACACAAATGGCGTGTGGTTTATTTAGAAAAATACATTGACTTAAATATTATTCTTAAATTGCAATTGGGTAAGGATAGAAGAAGCCAACAAGAGGCAAAGGGTTATATCTAGGGATAATATTGCTTTTCAAATATGCTTCAAATGACTGATTAAATCCAAAATATAAAATTTTGATGATGACGACAACAAGAGAGGAGATATTTGTATTTTATTTATTTACTATGTAAAATTTTAAAAATCTCTGCAGCTATTTAAAAGAATCTTATATAGTGTAAGTCAATATTATTTTTCAAGTATGAGAATCAAGCTTATACATATTTAACATGGTTTGAATGACCCGTTACTCAAATTAATTCTCTTTTTTTTAAATTAATAAAAATGTCTATCAATATCGTGTGAGATTTGATGAATCTTCACAAGTACTCAGATTTATTGCCTTATTGTGTAGTATAATAAGTTCTCGCAAATGTTGCGATTATTAATTTATATAGTAAATAAATAAATAAATTTTTAAATAATAATACAATGAACTTTTTTTAAAAAATATTAATTAATTAATTTAATTAATGTATTTAAACTATAATCATGTTTATATGATTAAAATTTTTGGTCACGTGAGATTTTTTTTGAATCTTTATAGACATTTAAGATAATTGTATTATTGTATGAGTTAATAATAAGGCTCTATAGGTGTAATGATTAAGATTTTTTTTTATAAAAATATAAATTATACACACACATGCATAATAAATTAATTTAAATAAAAATATATTTAATTAAAAAAATTTCATAGAATTATTTTTAAACCAATAATTGATTCCATTCGGGAAAGGAAAAATGTTTTGAATTTTTTTTTTGAAATGCTAGAAATATTTCTTGAAAGAGACTTATAAGAAAAGAAATTATAAGTGACATATCATAAGCAACAAACACACAAGTTGCAAAAGATTTCAAAATGCATACCATTCTATTATTTACAATTTTTGTGGTCATAAAGGTCATGTTTCTCATGCATGCTGTATTAGAAAGAATTCTAATAAGAGAAATAAATTTTTTTGGGTTTTTAAAAGACAAGAAAGGTCCCATACTAACTCACAATGACCCAAAGAAAAACAGGTACCAAAATATTCTTCTAATGCTTTATTTGTGTAGAACAAACTCAAGAAAATAGATATCTTGACTCAAGGAAGAGAGTAGTGTCTAGAAGGGCTTCTCATGAAAACAAAGTACTCATAAAGTCTAAACCAATAAGCAAAACTCTCAAGACATTCATTGCTGAAAATGCAAAATCCTACCAAAAGATGTAACAATGGAAATAAAGAAAGGGAACACATCACACTTCAAGGATGGATTACCATATAATGCCATTCAATTATATTGAGAAGGATAAGAGATGGGGGGCCTCTCAAGCATCAAATAGAAGACTCTTGAAGTCTACACTTTATGAGAGAGAATCACATGCACCGAAGGCAACATATACAAAGCCTAAGTATCATATGCATTAGGCATGCAAATGCAAACCTCCAAGTCAAGGTATAACATTGATAAACCTCTTACGCTAGAACTTTTAATAATTATTGAGGTTGATATCATTTGACCTTGGGAATGAACATTGCTCATTGTTTTGAAATATATTTTGATGATCTTATTAGCCTTTAAAAAACCTTTTAGAACATAATTGCAATATTCAATTTTTTAGAACGGAATTGTAGTTTTCAATAAATTAGCTCTTTATGCATACATATTGATTTCTAAACAAAATATCTTTTGTGCATAAAGTCATATTAATTCATCATGCTCAATTGTTTTGATTTGACAAAATTTGCTAGAGCATATGAATTGTTACTCCTATAAACTAACTATAAGTGAATCCAAATCAAGTTAGATACCAAGGAAAAGGAAAAGGTTTACATTGGAGGAAGGTGAAAAAAAGAAACTTCACCTAAAAAATGCAATACATAGAGAAAGTGGAAAACAAATCTTGAGGAAACATAAAGCTATTTCACACATGAATAAGAAGTGACTCATGCATGATAAGGAAGTCTAAGGGGACTTGCTACTCTAGAAGTCAACTCACACGAAGACAATATTGGTATCACGAGTGAAAGAGAAGACCAAAGAGCTCTTGAAGGAATTCCACTTGATTCATGGCATTATAGCCTATAATCACACATGGAGCAGTTCAATAATGAAAAATTCAGCCTACTTGTGCAAGCAAGGATGAAAGATTAACATCTCACAAGGACATATGCAAATTTGGTGATATCTAACTTTACCCTATCTTATGCTATATAATTAGCTTGTATTTGAGTAATGAGTACTTATTCCTTGTTGCATTCTTTTAACAATCCATCATTCACCATTTTCAAATTAGTTTCATGATTTCTTTAAGGACAAAATTAAATTTGTGCAAATCTAAAAATGCTCTCATAACTTGATTTCATGAAATACATCTTTCAAAGTCACATGCATGATTTGAAACAATCCAATTGAAACCATTGAGATTTACCATTCCTAATTCTCCAAATATTTCACACATGTTTCATGGCCAACTTGATTTCATTCAAGCTTTTGAAAATTTCATGAAAAGCTGTCTTAAGAAAGCTTAATTTGAACATGAACTTCATGCTTCACATGATCAAGCTTTTACATATGTATCAATATTTATATAACAACTTTCAATTGTTAATTACTTGAAAAGATATGAATATAACTAATTTTTTCAAGTAAGTTTGTGATTCTACTTGAGTAGTAAAGCATGACATGTCAACTATGAAAGAAAGAGCTTAACTCTAGTCACTCAAAAGACTTGAAGTTATCTAATAAAAGACTTGTAATAGCAAATCCCAAGAAGATGATTACAAGAGAAGAGAATGACAACTGTGCCAAAATCTATCAATATTCCTTTCCCTTACTCTTAATATTATTTCATATCATTTTGGATAGGTCCTTACTTGTTAGATTGATAAATCAAGGCATGAGTTGCATATGCATATCAATGATATATTTTGAGAATAAATTCACATTTTACATATTGTCATTAATCATATAGGATCTTATATTGGTTAAACATCTTTTAAAGCCTATTTGCATATCTTGAGGTATGATTCTAAATGCATAAATGCTAGAATGTTAGTTCATTATAAAGGAAATATCACTAGTTTGAAATTTCACAAACTTTGAATGCTCTTGAAAAGAATTTTATCTCAAATTGAGTTTTATATGTTCATTTATCAAAGTTTAAGAAATTGCTTAGTTTTGAAAATCACAATTTAAGAATCATGTTTAAAATGTCATAACTCATTGCATTACATGCCAGAAAGGGAGTTTGTTTTCCAACTCATTTTAAATCCCTCTTCATACTTGAAATCTTTATTTTACAATCATGACCATAATCATGTTTAATCATTTCATTGATGATTTGATTTTGATCTTATAAGTATAAGAAGCTTACAAGCATAAGTTATCTAACCACTTTGGACTAAATCGACCTTGGATACTGTAACATCCTCATTTTCTAATCCTATGATTAACTATTAATTAAGAATAAAGGGATAATTAATAAAGGAATTAGAGATTTGGATGATTAGTTATTGATTTGTTTCCTTTGGATGTTGAATAGGCAGATATGGGTGGAAGGACTACATTCCAAAGTGAAACGTTTGCATGTGGTGAGAATTTGGCTTGTTATGCCACATATCATGGCTGATGTTGTCTATGCCGCGGTGTATGTACTAAAAAGTAACTTCTTAAGTCATGAATTAGGTTGAATTTTAGAGAGGTAAAAGGGAGAAAGCATAAAGGGAGAGGAAAAAGAAGCATTCTTCAGCTAGCACAAGCTATGGTTGGAGCTTGGGTGAGATTTTTTACTAGTAACTTATCAGGTAAGCTTTGTATAACCTTTACCTTTGATTCTACTATAATTTCTTTTAATATGAGTTATAGAGAAATTGAATTGGAAAAATTAAAGGGGTTTATTTCTCATGTTATAGTAATAAAAGGGTTCTTAAGAGTTAAATTAGAGATTTACGATTAATTTGGATTTGAATGATAGAGCTTAATTTAGCCCTAAATCAATGAAAATTAAGGGTGGAAATGGTGTAAAAGTAATATGGGATTATTAGAAGTGTTGTAAAGTGATAATTGAGTGGTAATAAACTTAGAATAGCTGAGTGGAAATGAATGAATGGCTAGTTATAGCCTCAATTAATAATTGAATGTTTTTGGGTCAATTGAACCAATTGACTAATAATGCCAATTGTGTGTAGATTGGCATAGTTCAAGTGTAGAGTTGAGAGAGAACTTGGTAGAGACGAGTAGCGGTTGAGAAAGTACCATAGGCCTTTTTAGTGACAAAAGGGTTGAGGTAACCAAATAACTTTTTTGTTTGACTCTTTATTGTAACTGTTTGTAAGTATGCTATCTATTGCATGAATCTTTTTTAAACTAAACATGTTTTGTGGCATTGCATGGTTATTGAATGAAAATGAACTTTGATTAATCAAGACGTGATATTGTGCGATTATATATATATATATATATATATGTATGTATGTGTAACATCCTAAGTTTTTCAATTAGTAATTATCAGTGTTTCCAAAGGTAAATTGGCCAAATTAGATAAATTATTGATTAATGAGGTTTACGAGAGACTAATATGGTTTTTGAATTCTTGGACAGCCTTAGAAGAGGGCTAGATCGATGTTTAAATGGGATATGGCATAGAAGAGAGTTTAAATTTTGATGGGGGGTTCTATGCCATGAGCCGCGACAGGCGTGTTAATGCGCCGCGGCGCACATGCAAAAATCAGCATTTATCACAATCGAAAAATAGACTGGAATTAGAGAAAGAAAGAGAGATATCATGAGAGGGTGATGGAAACTAACTGGGGTTTACTAGGGCATGATCCCTAGACTATTTTGAAAGCATTTAGAGCTTGAATTATTATTAGGTAAGTTTTATATTCCCTCTCCTTCATCATTTATGTGAAAATCTGGACATTTGGGGCAATGAAGGCTTTGATTTCATTTTTCTTAGGTTTAAAACAAACCCATTAGTTTATTTAAGGTCTTGGGGAGTTAAATCAAGCCTCTAACCCTAGGTTTATGAGTTTTATGGTGATTGAAAATTTTTGTTGAGGGTTTGGACGAACCTTAGGCATAATTTGGAGATTTGGAGACAATGTGGGAATTGGCTAGTGATTTTGGTATGTTGGGATGTTTAATAGGATGGTTAGAGTGTTTGGAAATGGTTGGTGTGGTTAGATAAGGAATTTAGGTGTTATAGGTACCTAGAACCTAGAAAATTTGAGGTTGATCCGGAGTGATAATTGACGATTGTCACTTGATTGTGTATATTAAGTGTTACTGGCGCTACCTCATGTATATAGAACGTGTGGAGCTAACATTGATCTACGGTAACCTTTTTTGTATGACAAAGGATTGAGATAATAGAATAATTTATACTATTAGATTATATTACTTAACTATTTGTGAGTAGATAAATATACTTATTTACATGTGTTTCAAAAGCTTTACATATTGTGAAAGAGGATTTTCTCGTGCATTAGAAACTACTTTTGAAATGATAAAGAATTTTGAATTCTTATGTGAAAATTAGTGATTTTTCATAAGTGTGTGAAATGTGTGGCAACTTGAGTATGATCATGTTAGGGAGTGGGAGTTCACCCATAGGAAGGAGTAGTGAAAGTCCATATGGTATGTATCTCTTTAGTGTCTAGTGAGGCACAGAGTTGGAGATTTTCTCCTTAATATCCATGCAAGATATGGCATTAGAAAGTGACGCTCCTTCGCATCAATAATGTAGCGTTGGAGTAACGACACCCCAATTTGTATGTGATAGGGGAGACCATAGTTCGGAAGTAGGATAGGACACCTTTAGTCGAGTGATCCTAATATTGAAGGTGAGCTCGAACCATTGTGAAGGTGCACTTAGTCCAAGAACCTATAGTTTCGACTAGGGTGATATGGAGGTTCAGATGATAGAATGATCATGTTAGTGGTAGATGATTTGTATTGATGAAAAAGAGTATGTTATAATATGTTAAAAGTATATTTTGGAGCCTTATAGCTTTATTCTCTTATGGTTGTGCATGTTAATTAATAGTAGTAAATTATTCTGTTACTGAGATGTTTATCTCATCCCGTGGTTATATTTTATAGGTGAGGGCTTCGGTAGGGGCAAGGGGAAGGAAGGGGCGATTGAAGAGTGAAGAGCATTATTGTATAGCTCTTCCCTTTCCTCTTTTTGGGGTATTGAAACGAGTATTGCCATTATATTTTGCCAATTTAGGAACATGATATTGTTTTAGTTATCACTTGTATGAATTTGTGATAAGTATGCATATCTTAGTCAAGTTAATTTGTGTGCTAAATTTTATCCACACCTATGTGTTATTGTCAAATAGAGGTTTAGCGGTCATTTTGAGTTTGAATACTTAATTGTGTGATATGATTTGCATGTCATGTTGTGTGTTGTCCATTTGAGGTGGTCAAAGTGATTTTAGAGCTAATGGCATTTGGTAATGTGTTTTGGACACCTTTGAAAGTGTTTTGAGGTGAAAACGAACCATTTTGGGTTCGGGTGTCTATCTTTTAAATAATTGATTGTTTGAGTGTGAGACTGGTTCCATTAGCTAGAGGGCTTTAAGTATAACATCCTGAATTTTTAATCCTAGTTAATGTCGATTAGGAATGGATTAGTGATTTAATGTGGGATTAGGGTTTTGAGTAGTGAAGTGTTATTTTGACCTATTGGAATATTATATGAACAGATACAAGTGGAAGAGCATAATCTCAAAGCAGACGTGTGAGAATAGTGAGGATTTTCCTCACTGTGCCACCCGCCGCAGCGAGGGATGGATGCACTGCAATGCATGGTGCAGAATTTTAATTAATAGGGACATGCTAGCTTGTGAAAACAGAAAGGGAGAACATGAGAGGAGAAGTCTAGTGTGGAGAAGAGCAAAGGATGTGCTAGGACAAGCATAAACAAGAGCAAAGATGGTGTTTCTGACCTGTTACTTGTCAGCTAAGTCACATACTACCTTAACCTCTGATTCTACCCTATTTTCACTTAGTTTTAACTAGTGAGAAATTGAATTTAGGAGTTTTAAGGAGTTGATTTCTTACCTTATAGTAATAGAAAGGTTCTTCGAAACTAAACTAGTGCTTTGTAACTAGTTTGAGTCGAAAGGATAAAGCTTTAAAGCTATAGGCAAGATTTGCCCCAATCTAGAGAGAGTAGTAAGAGAAAATTACTAGAAAATTAGCTTGAGATGAGGGGTAATCAGTGGTAATAGGTGTAACCGAGTGTGAAATGTGGATGTGATAGCGATTAGGCGATTAAATGTGACAATTGACACTTTTGTCAATAGTGAAAATTGACTTTAGGTTGTCAATTTTGTGTAGATTTTAGTGCATGACACGTAAATTATGAGGAAGGAGCTTGAATAGGGTTGTTTGGAACAGGGGTAACCCTTTCTAGTAAATAGAAGGGTTGAGATAACTATATAGTTTATTATGTTTATTAACTATTATAACTGTGTAGAAGTAAATATAAATTGATGAATTTGTTGTTTTAAGAGTTTTGTGCATGATTTATTATTGAAATGGTTTTAGCATGTACAATGGTTTGTGAAATGAGATTTGTAAGGTTAATTGATTTCAAATGATATATATGTGTGTGTATGTGTGTGTTATGACATTACACGTGACAATGTGAAAGAAAATAGTGGAAATTATAAAAGAGCATGATCATAGGGGGTGGGAGTTCACCCAGGATATGTAGGGATGTGTGTGTGGAGATATGTGAGTGAAAAATTCATATGGTCGGGCTGACAGCATGGGACATCCAATACAACATTATATGGGTTGTTATCATAGGTAATCCGATACAACATATTATAGGACTATTACCATGGGACATCCAGGCAGTCTGGCAACTCCTTAGTACCCAATAGGGTATAGTTAGGAGTCAACGATGCCTTTATTACAAGTATGTGAAGAGGGAAACCATAGTTTATAGGTGAGTTACATTACTTTTGCCCGAGTGTTTCTACCACTAAAAGTGTGCTTGGGTTAACAAATAGTTGATCCAAAAGGGCCTATGGTTTCATGTCAGGGAGTATTAGAGGTTCAGTAGCTAAATGATCATGCTAGTGCATATTTGTGTGGAATGACTTTAAAAAGATGATATTTATTCATATTTTAATATATACATGATATTACCTTAGTTTTTAATAATTTGGCATGGTTATTTTTGGTAATAGGCATTAAATGAGCTCTATTGGTTACTGAGCTTTTTATCTCACCCCTAGTTATTTCCATTTTTCAAGCTCTAGTGCTAGTGGATCAAAAGGAAAGGATATAGGCTAAGTTGGCATCTCTCACCTAAGTCTTTATAAGAGTTGGTGTAATGAATTTGTTGTCAGTAGTTGTAAATATGTATAAGTTGCCATAAGATTCAATCATGTGCATGAAGTTGTATTTATATTATGTTTTGATGAATTTGGAATTCCCTAGCCCTTTGTGTGTGTATGTGTAAAAGATAAAATGAGTGGATGGACTATTGGGTGAAGGTATATGAGTGTGAATATGAGATGGTTGAAGGGTATATGTAGTGGTTTGGCCTTGTATGAGATTAAAGAAGTGAAAATGTGATTTTGGCCCAAAGTATGAAATGGGCAATTTGCAGGCCAAATATGTGTATGTGTGATATCTTGTGCATGTGTATGGTCAATCAGGTGTGTATTATCAATTTAGACATAGTCAAGGCCCAAAAAGTGGCTAATGACAATTGGTTTCAAATTGAGACATTTAAATGGCTAGATTTTGGTAGAAAACGGTCAAAATGCACTTTAGTGCCTAATTTTTGATGCAGTTATCGGATTGAAATGAAACTAGTGTCATTGGTTAAATTTTGTAATAAGCTTTGTGTGGGCGCTTGAACTATCCCAATCGAACATCGTATGCGAAAATGGCATGCATCTAAATTTCATATTAGAAACTATCATTTGACAGTAAATTTAGGTGTGTGTGCCGTGGCGCATGTACCCGCATGCTGCAGCGCACGGCACAAAGTGAGCGACTGTGGCCTCTGTGCCATATGCCATGACACATGTGGCACAGGCCACAGTGCATTGTGCAAAATTATACTTTGTTTTCTTGTATGCACATGTTTCTTTTAGCATTCTATACCTGAATACTTGTTGCTTCTGCTGTGTATGTGTTTTATGTGTTGGATTTTATAACTCAAGTAATTTATAAAATAATTTAAAATCTTTTATTGGGATCCTAAGGCTTTCAATGTTTTCAAACTAAATATATTTGTAGTGATTAGATTAATTGTAGTGGAGTATATGGTAATGTTAGTGAGGGCATTACACTAAGAACTTCGTGTGGACACTTAAACTGCTCAAATCGGATGTCGAATGGCGAAATGGTACAATTTGAAAGTTCGAAGAGCTGTCATGATAGCAATCTGCTGTTATGACAGTAGATGCATGCCACAGCATATGATAGTTGAGCCGCAGTGTAAATGCCTTCCGAGGGATTTGTCCCTCTGTGCCATCCGCTACAGCAAGCATGGCTTACACGGGTAATTGTGATAATTGACACTTTTTGTCAATGGTAAAATTGACTTTGGATGCCAATTTTATGTAAATTCTAGTGTGTGACGTGTAAATAAGTGGAGAAAGATTCGAGTAAGGAAATTACATGGGTAACCCTTTATATCGGACAAAAAGGTTAAGATAATCATATAGTTTATTATATTTATTAACTATTATAACTGTGTAGAAGTAATTGTATAAAATTACATGGGTAAACCTTTATATCGGACAAAAAGGTTGAGATAATCATATAGTTTATTATATTTATTAACTATTATAACTGTGTAGAAGTAATTGTATAATGGTGATTTAGTTGGTTTTTATGCATGAATTTGGTATTGAAAACAAGTTTAGCATGAAATGAATTTATGAAAAGAAGGTTTGAGAATTTTTAGTTTTGAATGAATGAATATATAAATATATGTTGCCATATAAGTATATAGTATGGAAAGGTGAAAGAAAACAGTGAAAATTATGAAAAGAGCATAATTATAGGGGGTGAGAGTTCACCTAGGATATGTGTGTGCGGAGAAATGAGTGAAAAATTCATATGGCCAGGCTGGCACCATGGGACATCTGATGCAGCATTATACGGGCTGTTACCATGGGTAATCTAGTACAACATACTATGGGACTATTACTATGGGATATTCGAGCAGTCTGGTAACTCCTTAGTACCCATTAAGATGCGGTTAGGAGTCAATGACGCCTCTATTACAAGTGTGTAAAGAGGGAAACCATAGTCCGTAGATGGGTTAGATTACCTTTGGCTGGGTGTTTCTACCATCGAATGTGTGCTTAGGTCAACAAGTGGTTAATCCAGTAAAGCCTATGGTTTTGTGTCGGGGAGTGTTAGAGGTTCGATGGATAGATGATCATATTAGTTTGTATTTATGTGAAAATACCATGAAGAGATGAAATTCCGTCATACTTTGATATATATTTGATATTACCTTATTTTGTTACTTTGGCATGGTTATTTGTGATAATAGACATTTAACGAACCATATTAGTTACTAAGATTTTTATCTCACCTGTGGCTATTTATATTTTTTAAGTTCTGATACTAGTTGTTCAAAAGGGAAAGACATTAGTTGACTTGAGACTCTCATTAAAGCCTTTGTAAGGATTTGGTGTAATGAACTTAAGTGTTATTACGTAAGAATGTGTATAAGTTGCCTTAGGATTCAAAACATGTGCATAATGTGTTAAATGTTGTGTTTGATGATTTTGAGCTCCCTATCCCTTTGTATATGTGCGAATGGTGAAATGATTGAATGGGCTAGAGGATGAATATACATATATGTGAATATAGGGTGTTTGAAGTGTATGTGAAAATTATTGGCCTTGTATAACATCTTGAAATTTTAAGACTCGGATTTATAAAAAAATATATAAATAAAATATGTATAATTAAATTAAAATTAAGAATAGAATGATAGAGGTCTGAGTTTGAATTTTACTAAGCAAAAGTTAGGTTTTATTTTATATTTAACTATGAAAAAAATTACCAAAGTTGACTCGGGCTTTTTTTGCTATAATTAAGAAATGTTGGGCTCTTCCTTGTAATTTTTTCCAAAGTTTTTGGATTAGTTTTTAATAGCCATTTCACATAGAATTGAAACAAAAAAAGCCAAGAAATAAGGAGAAAGAAAACGAGTGTGAGGAAGAAGAGAAGAGGAAGAAAGGGAGTTAGGCTTAGATCTAGGAGGTTTTATGACCATTGCAAGCTCGGCTACACGATAGGTAAACTTTCTACTTCAATCCTCTTCCTTACCTCTTGGTTTTCTTCAATTTTTAGAAGAGAAAATTTCTGAAATTTGATCCAAAAGGCTTTATTCTTGTAAGCTTTAATTTCCTTAGGTCCTTGAGAGCTTGTTTTGAGTTTCTACATGATGCCCTAATGTTTTGAGTGGGCATTTGGATGAAAAATGAAGTTTTAAGGTAAAAGTCAAACCCCAAGAGATTGGGTTTTGCTCCTCAATGGTTTAAGCCTATTTGATTTAGTTATAATTTTATTATTTGATCCCAATAAGATTTAAATTAAGGTTTGGTTTTCATTATAAGGGCTAATGGTGAAAGTTGGTGACATTAAGTGAAGGTTTTTAATTGATTAAAAATTATATGAATTGAAAATTGGCCTAGTGATGACTAATAAATGGTTTTGGTGGTTAAGTGATACTATGTGAATGGTTGGTTTAATATATGGACTATTAGGATGGATTATTGTTCATTAACCCAAGTTGTGTGGTATGAGTTATAGTCTTCATTAATGTTATTTGCCATGAAAAGTGATATAGATCACTCATATGTTGTATGAAATTGTTGGTAGAACTTATTGAGAAGTTAAGGAATAAGCCAAGTCCTATTTTGTACAAGAGGAACCCTTTTGGTACTAAAGGGTTGAGGTAACAGGAGAATTTATATTTCTTATTACTTTTTTTAGCTATTTTTGAATAAATATTACTAGCTATCATACATTACATGTTTTAAAAGATTAAATGTGCTTTATAAGGGGTTATGGGGTACTACTTTGATTATAGTGCAAATATATTTTCTAATTATTTAACAACAATGTTTTTATAGAAACGAGATTTATTTGCATGTATTGTAATAATAAAGAATAGAAGTTGTACTTAAGGAAGTGTAACTAAGTTAGATACCTTAGATAGGCTAAGGAATTGTTTAAGGGAGATTTATAAATGTTATACTACCTTAGAGTGTTGAAGTAGTCAATATTCGAGAAAGGTAGACAAGAGTAAAAGGCATGATCTCGGTGGGAGTTCGCCAATGAGAAGGTGTGGACTTGTAATATTCTAGGGCACATTGCCAGTACTCAGTGTTGCCTTACGTTTGTGGGCACAGTGCACTAAAGTGGTTTGTGTATTGAGTGTTCGATGACTCTTAGTGGGGGAGGGAATCTGACATATAAAGTGTGAGGTTGAATGTCGAGGCCAAGGTAGCCCTCATATGGAGAGTCAGTCAGGCTGGCTTTAGGAGGCAATTAGCTTCGACTGCTCAGGATTCACGTCAAAGGGGCATAGGCAGTTCGGTGGCAAGTTAATTAGTGTTAAGGGGCATTCTGTTGGTCATGAAAGGCCATACCGGCCTATGTCATGCATTCATGCATTTTAAATGGCGAAATTATATACTACATTGAATTATTATTTGTTTATTTGATTATGGCTTACTTTGTAATAATCGATGTAGATTTCTCTATTACTAAGACTGTGGTTGTCTTAACCCTTTCTTTTCAATATTTTTAGGTCCAGGCGAAGGAACCATGGTAGATAGGGAAACGAGTAGAGCTAGAGGTTGTTTGTAGATTATAAAGAACTGCAACCCCTTTCTTTTGAGCAAATCTATTATAATGTATTTGGAATTAGGGTGCCAATAGGATGTGATTATGTAAATATGTGTGTGAATATATGTGGATTGTATGGATTTGTATGAATTTTTGTCTGCTTATAGACTTATGGCTAGGAAACTTGATTATGGTGTGTGATTTTGATGGATTTATTTAGTAGACCAAGTTTCTACTACAAGTAGATATTTATTTTGATATATATGTGATTCTACAAACAAATGCAAAGTGATTACATTGCAAATGGTGTGCTATGGGCAAACATACACCTTGGATAGAGAGAGTGGGTGCATGGGCCTTACTAAGATCTTTGAGCCAAGTGAAATATTTAGCATATGTATTCATATGTGTATATGATATTTAGAATAATTTTTGGCCACTCTTGTGTGATTTGTGAATTTTGGGGACTTAGGGTCCATTTTAAGAAATGGCACCTGAGTAGTCAAATTTTGATATAAAGGGTTTTTCTATCAGGTTTTTTTAGTCCTATTTGATGTGTCCAAAGTGTTTTCACAAGTTTGTGACCATTAGGATGAGATTTGGACAATTTTGAAAATGGTTTTTACAAAAAAAACTGCACTTTTGCATTCGGGTGTCCAAATCTTACTCCGACCGTTGGATTTCTCTCAAATTTGGGTCACAAGTAAAAATTTTTATAAGCTTCATGTGAGCTTTGGAATCACATTGATCAGACACCAGACGGAGGAATAGCGCACTCTGAAATTTGATCTGGAGGAGCTGTTATGACAGCAAAAATACTGCGTGACAGCAATAGTGTTGATGTTGCAACAAACATGAATTTCAATCTGTCCGTTAGATCTTTTCAAAATTTGGTATGCTAATAGTACTCTTTAAAAGTGACATGTGGGCTTTGAAATCACTCCGATCAGAGGTCAGATGATGAGATGGTGCACTTCAAAAGTTAGTCCGAATGTGCTGTCATGACAGCTAAAAAGCGGTCATGACAGCAAGAATGACCAAACTTGTAACATGTTCGACTTTTAATTTGATCATTAGATCTTTTTGAAATTTGGTGTACTACTAGTAATTATTAAAAATGGCGTGTGGACTTTAAAATCACTTCAATCGAAGGTCGAATGGCAAAACAGTGCCTCCCAAAAGCTGGCCCAGGAAGGCTGTCATGACAACAATTTAATGCTATCATGACATCATCTTTTTATCTCACTTTCGTCTAGCTTGCTTCCGTGCGCTATAGATAAAACCTATAAAATTTTTTAAAGGTTTTAAATGTTTGTTTTGTGATGGTGTATTTGTTTAGTGATTTAAATGATTTGTTTTCTAAGTTGGTTAGAGGATCAACTCCTTAACCACACTTAGTTTATTTGAATTATGTGATTTTTGGATAATACTTAGGGCAAGTGTTACACCTTGTATGAGATTAAGAATGAAAAATATGTTTTGACCTAAAAGTGTTATATGGGCGGTTTACAGGCCAAATATGTGTACATGTGTTATATTGTGCATATGAATGTTCAATTAGGTGTGTATTGTCTATTTGGAAGTGATCAAGGTCCAAAAGTGGCTAATGACATTTGGGTTCAAATTGAAACGCTCGAGTGGCAAATTTTGGCATAAAATGGTCAAAATGTACTTGGGTGTTTAATTTTTGAAAAAAATATTGGATTGAGATGAAATTAGTATCATTAGTTAGATTTCAAAACAAGTTTCGTGTTAGGGCTTGAACCATCCCAATCGGATATCGGATGCAAAAATAATACACATCTGAAATTCGCACCAGAATTTTGCATTATGACACCAAATTCAAGTGTGTGTGTGTGCTGCGGCGCATGTCTCCACATGCCATGGCACACAGCACAAAGTGAGCAACTATAGTCTCTGTGTCACATGTCGGGACGCATGTGACACAAACCGCGGCGCACAGTCCTAAATTTTACTTAATTTCATTGTAAAGCCCATGTTTTCTTGTTCTTTGAGGTATTTTTACTTATTGCTTCCGCTGTGTGTAATGTTTTATAATTTGAGTAATTTGTGAAATGATTTCTGAAAATCTTTTCTTGAAATCCTAAGATTTTTTAAAGTAAATGATTTTGAATTGATTAAGATTGATTGTAGTGGAGCGTATGGTAGTGTCAGTGAGGGTGTTATACACTTCACATCCTAATATAGTTTCATCAATTCTTAATTGTGATCTATAATATATCAAGTCCAATTTAGGTTTTAACAACTTTAATTTAATTTTAAACAACTACTCTTTCTATTATTTCATAGAGGGTTGGAAACGTATTTTGTAAAAATTATAACAATTAAGTTCCTAGGGATTTTAGAGTAATCACCTCAGTTTGTGATACTATTTTGTCATTTTCTTATTTCAAAAATATTTATTTGTCATTTTCTCTTTAAATAAACTTGGCTTCAAAGAAAATTATTCAAAGCTCTCCCTCCCTTACTCAATCCGAGAGATATACTAAGAAAAACCAAAGTTACATATCTTAAAGATCCAAACTTCATCATAAATTTCTTTTCCTTAATTGTTTGCTACAAGATATTTAGTTTGAGCTTGCAAAACAATCATTCTATCACTACTAAAAAAATTACAATTAGTGATGAATAAAATTGTCACTAACCAACAAAATCCATAACTAATTTTGGATTTAATAATGGATTGTCCGTCACTAATTTTTATCAGAAATATGTCATTAATCTATGTGATAGATACGTGTCCGTTACTATATTAGCGGCGAACACATATCCGTTACTAATTAGTAAACTTCCGTAACAGGTACAATAGTTTTGTTATCATTAGTGGATGGGTTACTCAACACCAGTCATAGAGCTTTTGGACGTTGCGCATTGAGCCTTTTGCAAACTTGTTAATTTTTTTATCCCACCTGGAGGAAGGTCTGGGCCACACATCTTGAATGGTTTGCAACCCAGCTACATATCTTGATAAATCAATTTGGTCTTTGTCAGCACTATCATATCTAAAAGGGTTTTATCTAACGTGCCACTTTTGTTGGCTATTTTATTCGTTAACTAGTCACGTGGAGCGAGTTTGCCAAATGTTTAAACCTTACTTTGGAATGAAAAACCTATCAATCTTTCGCCAAAGAATCTGGAATGAAACATTACTTTTTCTTGTTATGGTACCATGTGTTCCGAATGTTTGAACCTTTTATTATGAATTTATTGGCCATTTGAAATAAAACTTTACTCTTTTTTTTATTACTCACAAGTATCCTCTTATTGAAAGCAATATTATTCCAAACACAATTAAATACTACATGTAAGCATCTCTTCTGGTAGGAATTCAAACATTAATTTGCCATGTTTTAAGGAATTATTATCACTTTTGCTAGACCCAACTATTGTAGTCATTGTGCAAGTATGTTAAAATGAGAAGTCTCACATTGTTCATATGAGAAAAACTCCTAATGTATATACACTAAGAAATGAAAGTAGATTAGTAAATAGGCTTATATGAGAGTTAAAGAAACATTAGGTTCTTTTTACTAGATTTTTTTTTACAATTTTTTTTTGTCAAAGATTTGTTTTTACAATTTATTAATAGGTTAAGGTATATTTTTATCTCTAATTTTTTTTTTCAAGTAGCGTTCGGCACCTTGTATTGATAAGTGGGGCAATTTCGTCCTTGAACAGCAAAAAACCTTTTTTTTTTTAAGTTAATAGTTAATGTTGTCGTTTTTTTGTTAACATGACTTGTCCAAGGGGCCCATGCACAATGACATCCTAACAGATAAGACTTTAACCATATCCTTTGATGCTAATCTGCTTCTAAGCTATTTTTTTAGGAGCTTTTGGCATTTTAAAATCTTTTTCTAAGAGTGCTGGGCACACTGAAAGCTTGTTAAAATAAAATTTAATAAATATTATAAAAATATTAAATATTTTAATATTTAATAATTTTAATATCATTTTTTATAAATATTCATCAAGAATTTATAATTTATTTTTTAAATATTAATGGCTCAAACTAGTTTTTCAAAAATTTATAGATGACTTGTAATATTTTATATATCAATTATATTTTTAATATGGATTGAGTTTCTTAAATTTTTTAGATCATTCTTTATAATTTTTCTATCAATTAACAATATTCTAGAATATTACATTACTAATTTAATATTTTAATATTTTTTTATATATTTATAATTTGGTATTAAAAATGAAGGGAATGAACATTCAAATTAACGAAAGGGTTTTCATCACATCTCTTAATTATTCTCCTCTTAAATAACTTTTTTGTAGACATTAATGGGACATGAGATATCTTTTGATTTGTCATGTTTCTAATTTTATCCCTAACACTATAATGCACAAAGCGTATTAAGTTTGAGTAGTGAAATATTTTAGAGAAAAATTATTAGTTGATCAAAAAATTTATAAGAAGGACATAAAAATTTAAGAAACTCAACTAATATTAAAAATATGGATAAGTTTTGACCCATACAAAAGGTGTAACAATATGGGAATTGTCTTAGAGAGAGGCTTGAAGATCAATATATAAAAAATAACATGTCATCTATAAATTTATGAAAAAAAATTAGTTTGAGTTATTAATATTTAAAAAGAATTAATAAATTTTGGATGAATATTTATAAATAATAATAATAATAATTAAACTATTAAATAAGAATTTTATATTTTAGCAATATTTATTAAATTTTATTTAGGTTGCCTAGTGCTCATAAGAAAAGAATTTAGGATGCTCAGTACTTTTTTAAAAAAAGTTTAGAGGTAAATTAGAACTAAGGACATGGTCATAGATCAGAGTCTCATTTGTCACTATATGTGGGTTCTACACATGTCACATTAACAAAAAACAAAAAAATTAATAGTTGACTAGCAAAAGTTTTTTGCGCCTAAAAAATAGTTCAAAGGTAAAACTAATCCATTTATTAGTACAGGATGCCTAATGCTCCTTAAAAAAAAAATTAAAGATACAAATACACCTTAATCCTTTATTAAATTAATTTTACTCAAAAAGATCAAGTTCAAATCATATCAAAAGTTATAATGTTTATATGATTTGTGAGAGGATTGTCAAATAAAGTAATATCAAAATGCTCGCTTTAAACCTTATAGGTTGAAAGATCTGTGCAATGATTAGCCTCTCTGTAGAATTTTATTATGGTTGAGTTTCAAGTCCTAACGAGTTGCAATATTAACGAGGAGTTTCAATTACCATTTAACGAGTTTAATTGCATCAAGTCATTCATTTTTCATAACCTCCTCCAGGTGCAAAAACCG